AAAATGTAAAGTCCTACCGAGTAAGTCCTACTAAACTAGATAGGACTTACTTCTAAGATACATTGGGCAGCATCCTTAGCATCCTTTCTCAACTTACTCTCTGTGAGGCTAACTGGACAGTGATCTAGGTCAGCCTTCACAAAGAAAAGGAAAGATAAAACATAAACCATTCAGATGTACCCCCTCCTTTTCTACTTGTAGTGCTCAAAGAAGCAGAGATAGTGTCCTGTGCACGCCTCAAGGCAGAGAAAGCAGAGGTGATATTAACGCATACTTCTGCTTTCTCCACTCCTAATTGGGAAATATGACTTGTTCAAGACTGAGGAGGGACAGTAAGCTCAGTGGCATTACGTACAGTTCACCTGCACAACATCCTAGTTTCCATTTCTAACATTGCCAGGTAGGACTGAAGACTCTCCCGATCAGCGCATGAACCAACAGTCCAACGTGGTATGTGGAAGTTTCCTATATTCTTATAATGAGCACCAGCAAGAAACCAAACCAAGAAACCAAACCTCTATACATCATTTTACAGTGCTTTATATACTACAATCCCCATATTCACAAGGGATACTTTCCCAGACTTTGCATGAATAGTGAAACTGTAGATAATATTGAACCCTATTATTTTCAATGGGATAAATGCTGGAACTACTGAAAAGATTATGTAGCTTATACAGAAGGGCTTTAACGGAATCAGTTAAGCTGGAGATAAATGAAACCACAATATCGTATATCAATTTCATAGATAAAGTGGCCACACTATAGTTTGTGTCTGTAATTACCCCAATATCCAGATTATTATCACTACTTGAATATCTCACTCTTATCCACCCCCCCCCAAAAAAATCTCCTCCTCTTTCAATTGTGATTGTAGCATCTATGTTGTTTTTTCAAAAAACTGTGAAAAATAAAATCAACAATTCTTCCAAATATCTGTTTCAAAGTCCAATGGGGAACACCGTTTCCTAGAAGTACCTCTCTACTGCAGCTAATGATACACTATCTCATCTCATAGATGTACTTATTTTTCTTTATGTGCCCAACACCAAAAACTATTATGGATTTATATGCTTTATCTGTCAAACTGCCAATTTTTTTTAAAAAATGCTTGTCGAAGACAGAAGTTTGGCCCAATTCTACAAAATTTATGCTGTAAAAGCAATAGACACAGAACTGAAGATCCAAGTATCGATCTACATGGCTAACTATAGGCGTAGGATTCTGATGAACAAGGCACTCTGCAGCATTTACAACTTCCAAAAAGTAGCACAGACAGTATTTCATAAACTTGTTGCACTAGTAGGGGGTCTCAATGCATCAGAAGATTGTGCTCATGCATCTTTAAAGCCTGCACAGAAGAAGTCGTTTCTATGTATTTTATCATGCTGTTATGGTTTAAACGCCCAGAAAAGCTTCATCTGCCAAATTCCCCTCTTTTACTCAGGAGCAGTCCTATTTCTTGCATCTCAGTACTTCAGACAGGGTAGAACACTCAATCACAATGAAGGATAAGCAAGCACAATACAATCATATAGACCAGTCTGGAATACTGGAAGCTTTTACTGCCCTTCACTATGGCACAGAGACTGACAACAGATGAGAAATTACTAATTATTCTTTCAAACATACACAGCAAAACTATTGCAAACGTTTATTTTGTATGATTCCAAGAAAGCATTGCCATATGGATTTCTATGTGGTCATCATGACCACCCTAAGCATCAGCATTCAGTTAGGAACAAGATGGTTTTTCTAAATTAAGTAGCAATACATAAACTGTGCAGTTTTTTAAAAGGCTATAGTTGTGGCAAATAGATTAAAACAAACATTTCCATATTCATCATTTATGTTTCTCCTAAAGGAATAAATGAGATAAATGCTAATCTAAAACCAGACACCAGTTTGAATGATGACTTTGTTTCTCTCAGCAAATAATACAGAACCTGGCCAATGGGGACAAAAATATGTTTGGCAATGGAATTTACATACTTAATTTCAATTTATCCTCCACATACTTTTATTGTCTTAATGAAAATGTATGAGAAATGAATTATACCTATCAGAAAAAAATCAAATTTCAGAACAAATATTCAACAATTGTTAAATGAAGTCCAAAAAGCAAACTTTAAAATCTATTCCTTATGAATTTGATTTATATATTACTGTTTAGCTTAAAAGAAGGAAGCAATTTTAAATTTTATATAGTATAGACTCCTTTATATCAGTGGCATGGAGGAACATGGGGCTTAAGTAGCCTAAAAGCGCCAGGTACTGTCTGATTTTGGAAGCTAAGCAGGGAGTCTTGGTTAATCCTTGGATGGGAGATTACCAAGTCCTGTAGGTTACATTTCAGAGGAAGGAACTAGGAAAACCATTTGTGAATAGTTTGTCTAAAGACACCCAAGGCGTCACCATAACTTGACAGGCAACTAGAAGATACACATGCATACACAGAGGAGTAACCAAGGTATTAATAGTCATACATTTGGAAAAGAAGGAAACCTTGTTACCAGGGTCACACTAAGAGCTTCAACATGAATAACATTAAAGTAACAGCAGTTCTAAGAAAGCAACCTTCATTACCTCAAGTTTTCATGACAGAGAAAGGGAATACAAAGGGAATACAAATGTGGTTTAACCATTTTTTAATACTTTGTATTAGAATATATAAAAATCCTTGCCATGTAAAATATTTCTGTATATCTGCATTATGTGTACAAGTACTCCCCCCTTCCAATCAAACTCCATATGGTTTTCCAAGTTACAAGTAACAACCTTCATTCATATACCTCATATGAGCACTGTTCCCAATGGGCTAAGGACCTGTTGAGATCTTAAACATGACTGTCTTCTACTGAAAATGACTATAATGTGGGAAGTGCTTTTTAAATACTTAGAATGCCATACTAAAAACTCCGAACACATTGCCAGTTGGCATCATTCACAACATCAAGAGGACTTCCAGTCTTTCTGTTTTCCATGACACTACTCCAAAAGCAGTTAACAGGAATCTTAAGTGCATTAGGAATGATGGTTCAATTTCTCATTTGGCTGGCAAATACAGCACACCAATCAATATTGTTTAAAGTACTCTCATCTCTAGGCAAAACCTGTTATTTCAATAGCTGAAACTTTAGGAAAAAGAACCATGTTCTCATAGAATAGAAACTTCTTGGGACATAACGCTAATTCCACAATAATTGTGTATAAGATTGTGCATGATGGTTTCACAAACACACACACACAAAGTCCATCTTCTCACTTGGTATGCAGAGTTCTATTTGACTTCTAGGAAACTGGTGAGCTCTAGACCGTGGTCTCTGTTGTGCAATCTGTTGTACAATCATGGCATTTGTTGTAACTCCACTGATATATATCGGTGCTACATTAAATGTATGCCTGTAGCTGTCAGTCTTCCCAAAGATAAGCAACTATTTTAAGTTAAATGGAATGCATGTTCTCAATCTGCATGTGTACTGTTAAATTAATAATTTTATTCTCAACTCTTTTAAATATTTGGACTTGGCTATCTAACTGTGTCACAGGTTGAAGATAAAGTATTAGTGTAATTATGTCTCTCCAGAAAAGGGGATGACTACGGAAGCATGGAAGAAAGAGAATTCTGCAACCATGTTGCAGAAACTGAGCGGTCAGTGTTCAGACGGGAGACTAAATGGGGAACCTTGTATCTGCTGCCATAAGTTCCACAACAGAAGACAATTAGGGGTGAAATATTTAAAATAATTTAATATCAGCAAACTTTAATGGACTCAATTTCACTTCATCAGATGCAGGGGTCATCCTAGCATCACATGCACCTGATAAGGTTGGTTTGAGATCCATAAAGGTTTATGCAATAATAAATTTAATAGTTTTTAAGGTGCCACAGGAATTTGTTGTTTTGCTCAACAATCTGGTTGGTGGCTGCAATTGCAGCGAGCAATTTCAGTCATGACTAACCACTTTATTCTTGTGGTTCATCATCAACCAAGTCTTACCTGTAAAAGACAATATGATGCCTCCAGTAAACCATCAAATAGTCACATCATTAGTAAAACAATTTCTGTCAAATGCTCTTCAGAACACAGTAAAGCTTTTTATTGTTTGATTTTCTGTTACAGTTAGAATGGACACTCACAAAGCAATCCCATCAAAGCAGATGAAATATATTCTGATTTTTTTCATTTTGACTGCTGGGCTTATTATGTAGAGATTAACTATCTATAACCTTAGAAAAATAATGAGTAAAAATATATAATGAAGTAGGATAAATCTTCAGTAGCATCAGTTTTTTTCAGATTCGAGTTAGACATATATTTTGCAGATGACATCGTAGGAAAAAAAACCACTTCTTTAGCGTCCTGTGGGATCACAACACCAAACAGTCAGTGTTTCAGATGATTTTAGATCCTTTGTGTTTGATGAGGTATCAGTGATACAGATATGAACTACGCTATATAGTCACAACATCGAATGGCTGTTCTTTTATTCCCAATTAATTAAGAAGATGTAAGGATAAGACTTCCATGTTTCTCCTCCTGTGTTCCTAAAGCAGGATCGCAAGGTGCTACGAAGGAGACTGTAATAGTGCAAACAATACCAATTCTTATGAGATAAGCAATTCATTCCCTGTGTCAGATCCAGCCATATATATGTGAAGCATTCTGGCTGAATTATAGATCTCATTGTTACAGTACTCAGATCTGCTATTTTTAATATATATGCATTTCTTGAACAACTTTCTGCTTTTCACAAACAGCCAACTTGGAGTAGCTGCACTGTTTCATGCATGGTTCATTTCAGTGCAAAGTTTTTTTACATCTGGCCCTTTCAGAATGAGATCAGCAACTCTTTCCATTAAAAAAGAGAGAAACAAATTGACTTCAGACATTGTAATACATACACACAGACACTGAACTTTGTACATAAATCTACATAAATCAGAAATACTGAATAGGAAAGTGCTTGAAAAATCAATATAGCATTTGTTCCCCCTCCCCCCCGCCCCCCCATTTCAGGTGAATGGCATACCATCTTAAAGAACTGAATGGAAATGTCTTTAAAATCCAACCCAATTTCAATTGCATTTTGATTCAATACAAAGAACAAGTGCATATTTTTGCATTTCTTCACATTCATTCTGTTATCTCTTGCTTTCTCTCCCTTTTCCTCCATCTATTTTCTTTGCCTTTGCCTCCTCTCTGATAGCACTTAGACTTTAATCCCCTTGGAACATGGATCTGTTAGGTTTGGGAACAGGGTTTTTAACTTATGATATTCTGTAAACCATCATGTTTCTATGGGGAAATGGCACTGAAATTTCATTCTTGTATAATAGCAGAGCTGCGGTAATGCCTCTTCAGGTGGTTCTTCCAACAGAATATTAGCTCATAGTTCCATGTCATTGGGGAGGTAAATCCATTCCAGATTCCAGTCCAAACTTTAAAGGAGTTCTCTGTATAGTCTAGCATCAAAATAATCTCAATGCCTTGGGTGGCTTCTTATAATTTAGGTGAAAATATTGAGTATATTATTCAGCATCTCACTGACATGGTTCTACCAGCTGCCATTAGTGTAACATTAGGTGGCAGAAGAAAGATGTTGCACTCAGAAGGGTAAAATTTCTGGAACTCTCTAGAGCAGGCCTGGGCAAACTTCGGCCCTCCAGGTGTTTTGGACTTCAACTCCCACCATTTCTAACAACTGGTAGGGTGTTAGCAATAGTGGCGGTTAAAGTCCTAAACACCTGAAGGGCCAACGTTTGTCCATGCCTGCTCTAGACCCTCTATGTAAAAGGTGACTCTTACACACACATACAAACATGCAATTTGTCACTAGAGGAATAATGGCTATTTATTTCCAAATAGTGTCCTTATATAAAGGTAAAAGCATATGATAAGGAGCCTTATTTGGATTTCCTGGCTAATCCTCACAGATAGACAAAGCAAAATATGTCCGGTGTGGGGCATCATGAAGATAAACAACATAGTTTTCTGACAAATAGTAACATTCTAGACAAAGCCTTTCATGTTTTTGTGACCAACAATGTGTAATGGGCAGATATGGTCATTTTTCAGCTATGGACAGAACTGAAGTCTGTGGCAGGGGGATGGACAGGAGAAACAAGTTTAATACAGAGGATTTTGGGTTCTACCAAATATGAGATACAAAATAAGTTCACTAACTTGAAGTCTGGGGATGTGGGATATCAGCAGGCTCCCGTACATGAATTACAGAATACAGGAAGGATGTAACATGATTTTCTAAATACCCTGCTCAGTCAAAGCAGTAAGTACGGTTCAAATCTGATCTTTTGCACAACAACAAATGTAAGGGGAACTTTACAGTTCTCTGAGCACTGGAACGGTTATTTTTCTTACTGTTTTATCAGGTGAATAATATGGTTGAGCCATGTGGTTAAAATCTTTCCTCCACTTTTGTAAAAGACTGAAGAACTGACTGGGTGGGGTAGAGGTGTAAGAAGAAGAGGGAGCAATGGCGAAGAAATTTTAAACTGCATGAGTTCTTCACTACTGGAAAAGAGATTTCTGGAAAAGTATTTCTGGAAAAGAGAGCAGGTCCCTTAAGGTGCTTAATATGACACGGAGAGCTGAAGTGGAAGGAATATGCTTATAAAATCAGAGCGAGGGAAAATTGCTTTGCACTGGGGTGGGAAGGCTCTTTTTCTAAAAGAAATAATGAGGCTCATTTAATGTGTCATTTTAATCTTGATAGCTGCAGTTTGATTAGCATCAACATAGGGAATAAACACCAGATTTTCTTTTCTAAGACAGACTAACAATGTTGAGCTTGTAAGCAAAGACTGCGTTAAGAAAGGAAGGTTTGGCATTAACTGGTCTCTATGTATTAATATTAATATGTGAATTAACAGAAGCTCTGTACATGAGTCATCAGCAAGATGTCAGGAACATATAGGTACTAACAAAAAATAATAACAAAGCTGCTTGCTGGCTTTGGCTCTCAAGTGTGCAGACCGACATGCATGAACTCACACACAAACATATACACATACACACTATTTGACTTATTGGTTACAATTCGACAAGTCATTAAACAAAAAAGATGACAACACCAGTACAAAAACTACAAATAAGAATGAGTTGCTTTTCTCATGCTGGGCTCTTCAGTATTTGATTCACTTCCTTACTCTTTCCCAAGGCTTTTAAACTATAAGTAAGGGAGTGCTTAGCTTTTTCAGACTACCAGAGCCAATTCTTCCAGGTCTTTCTGCTCTGTATGACTACTAAGGTTTTGAGCAGCATGCGCAATTCACTTACGGTCCACTCTGCATAGTCTTTAATTAAGCAAGCTAGCAGGAAAAAAAGGAGTGAAACATTGGCAAAGGGCTTTCAAACACAGATGGCTGAGAGGCAACAATCTCCTGGCAGAGGAGATCAGATGACAAACTTTTAGTTCAAGTCACGCTGGGTGAAGGAGGTGTCTCCAAAGAAGTTGTCCAAAAAGCTCTCCAACTCCTACCACAATGGCTCTAACAATCCAGGAGATATAATCTTTTTTATGGCCCAAATAACTTCCTTCAGCAATTGTTAAGTGGTGTTAGCATCTCTAACCAAGGCTCAGAGGTTTTATAGCTACTTCAACACTGAAGGAGAAGCTACACTATGTTTGCACGCTTCTCCCCTGCACTGAATTCCATTGTGCCATTCCAGATATTGCTTTCCAGAGAGACAGTAACACGGGTAAGAATGATCCACCTACCTGCAGAATCAGACACACAAAATGCATTCAAGCCTCCTGCTCTCGTCTTTGAAGGCTTGGAATGCATTCAAGCCTTCAGAATTCAGCTTGTGCATCGAAACCGTACCAATTTATGAAAGGCCTGCTTGAAGTCTTCGTTGGACATGGTGTAGATGATGGGGTTGATCAAAGAATTAAGATATCCCAGCCATGTGAAAAAGTCAGAGATGGCCATGTGGAACCAGCAAGCGTCTTTACAAATAGGCAATACCAAGGTGATGATGAAGAAGGGCAGCCAGCACACGATGAAGGCTCCTAAAATAATCCCTAGAGTCTTGGTAGCTTTCCGCTCTCTGGCAGCTGTCAGTTTCTTCTTTTCCAGCAAAGCATCCGATACCTTCACTTTGACCTGGTTCATGTACACCGGAGACCCTGTCTCACTGGAAGCTTCAGAGGCCTTGCAGTTTATGGAGGTGACTGAGGAGGTCGAACCAGGGGAATCCGTTATCAAGTGAGCTCGGGTCAACCTTTTGCCCGTCTTCTTTGGCGTCTGTTTCAGGATTCTAGACCTGGCTTCTACATAGATCCTCCCGTAGAGGATGATCAGCAGCAAGGTAGGCAAGTAGAAGGCGCCCACCGTGGAGTAGACCGTGTACAAGATGTGATCGGTGTTCACCATGCAGTCGCCCATCTCTTCGGCTTTGGACTGGCGCCAGAAGAACGGGGGCATTGAGATGGAGATGGAGAAGATCCACACCAGAGCAATCATGACGGCGGCCCGTTTGGGAGTTCTTTTGGTGGAGTACTCGACTGCATCGGTGATGGCCCAATACCTGTCCAGAGCGATCACACACAAGTGGAGGATGGAAGCCGTGCAACAAGTGATGTCCGACGAGAGCCAAATGTCGCAGACCACTTGGCCCAAGGTCCACTTCCCGGTCACAGTGTACATGGTGCTGATGGGCATGACCAAAATGGAGACTAGGAGGTCGGTGACGGCCAAGGAGGCGATGAGATAGTTGGCAGGTGAGTGGAGCTTGCGGCTCTGGTAGACGGTGGCAATGACAAAGGCGTTGGAGAGCATGGTGGCCAAGGTGATGAGGGCCAAGAGGGCAGCGAGGACAACCTTCCAGGAGAGTGGGGTGCCATCTTGGTAGACGGGGCTTTCTTGCCAGCTGCAGTTCTGGGAGGAGGGAGAGGAGGCATTGGCGTGCTGGTGGGGGGAAACCTCCAGGCTGGCGAGGTCTGCTTGGCAGAGAGGGCTGGACTGCTCCATGCCCTCAGAAGACGGGCAACTTCTGGCGCAGCGACCCCAATGGGGCAGCGCCCTCACATCTCCACAGGAGGAGGAGGAGGCAAATAAGAGGGAGGGGCGGCGCGAGGGGGAGAGAGCTCGTGCGCCGGGCTCAGCCAATCGGGACGCCTCCCGCGCCCGGGTGGGCCATGGCGCGCGCCACTGAAGACCCCCCTCCGGCGGGAAACGGAGGGCTCTTCAACAGGTGCGCCTTTCCCAGTCAGTTCCCAGCCTCAGAGGAAAGCAGCAGAGGCAGAAGCCTTTTCTCCGACGGTGCATCTCTCCCACTTTATTTGGAGGGAACTTGAGGGTGGGCCGGGAGACCAAACGCAGGAAAAAGGAGGGCAGGTAGGGCACCGACGCCGCCTCCTCCTCCTCTTCCTCAGTTCCACTCTTCCTCTCTCTCCTCAAGCTGCCCAGTCCCAGAACTTTTTCAGGAGAGGGACAGCTCCCAGGTGGGATGCCTCCGGAGTCCTGCTGTGCCAGAACCTCCCTGTTTTCTCAGCCTCGAAGTGACCGCGAGCTTCTCTCTCTCGGCGGCTTCTCTCTCTCTCTCTCTCTCTCTCGCTCTTCTGTCTCTCTCGCGCTCCCACTCCCTTCTGCGCGAGCCCCGCCAGGCAACTCGTGGCCACTCTCGCCTCTCCCCCCCCCCCCCCCCCCCCCCACTTCAAGCCACCGCCCCGCCCCTCCGCCTGCCTCTGGAGGATTCCGCTGGGTCCTAGCACCGAGGGGGGAACGGCTTTGCCCCCCACAACCTCCTCTCCACCTTCCTTCCTGATTTCACACTGTCATCTCAAGGAGCCTCAATACAGGTCCAGGTTGCTTCTTGAACACTGCCTTTGAACCATCACCATTATTATTATTATTATTATTATTATTATTATTATTATTATTATTATTATTATTTGGAACACAACAAGATTAGTACATAGCAAACCAGATCACTATGCTGCCTGTTGTATTGGATCACACGTCGGACACTTCTCAAGTGTCTAAGGACTGTTGTTGTTGTTGTTATTATTATTATTATTGTGTTGTCGAAGGCTTTCATGGCCGGAATCACTGGGTTGCTGTGAGCTTTCCGGGCTGTATGGCCATGCTCCAGAAGCATTCTCTCCTGACGTTTCACCCACATCAATGGCAGGCTTCCTCAGAGGTCTGTTGGAAACAAGGCAAGTGGCGGACGCGCGCGCGCACACACATGGAATATCCAGGCAAGAATCAATCAGGGCCAGCTAGTACCTCCCAACAAAAGATCTCCCCGGGCAGCAACCAGCCAGGCTTTGAAGCTGCAAGGCCATTCGATGCTAATCAAGGTGGCCAGTTGCAACATTCACACTTCCCCTCAAGCAGACAAGAGTTCTTTCTCCCAACCTGGACACTATTCCACAGATATATAAACCTCACTTGCGTAGTTTCCAAACTCTGAGGATGCCTGCCATAGATGTGGGCGAAACGTCAGGAGAGAATGCATCTGGAACAAGGCCATACAGCCCGGAAAACTCACAGCAACCCACTATTATTATTACTCTTTGGGTGCCTCCAAGTCTTAGTATATCTTCAAGACTTATTATGGATTGCGTGGGTTTCATAGGGTTTTCTCAGGCAAGGGACCCTCAGAAGTGGTTCCTCTGAAATATAGCCTACAGCAGCTGGGATTCCCCTCCAAGCACTGACCAGAGCTGGCCCTGCTTAACTTTCATGACCTGGGCCTTTAAGGTCTCATGTATTATATACAGAATAGCCCCATTCCGTGTCCATGGCGCTGTACATAGTCTTCTGGCTTGCAATCTAAGACGAAAAAGGCAAAGGGGGTGGCCGTGTGGGAGGGGGTGGTGCCCCTTTTTTTTGGCTTCGTCCTTGGTTGTTGTTGTTGTTGGATGCCTTCCAGAGCGAAATCGAGAGGGAGAGGTCCAAATGTCGGTGTAAAAGACTCCGTAATTCCCTGCCTCTGGATGTGGCCTTCAGTATAGGGAGAATATGTTGTCGAAGGCTTTCATGGCCGAAATCACTGGGTTGCTGTGAGTTTTCCGGGCTGTATGGGCATGTTCCAGAAGCATTCTCTCCTGACGTTTTACCCATATCTGTGATAGGCATCCTCAGAGAAGGAGAACTAGGAAACTAGTTGGGAACTAGGCAAGTGGGGTTTATATATCTGTAGAGTGTCCAGGATGGGAGAAAGATTGGTAGCAGCAGACAGGCTTTGAAGCTGCAAAGCTATTCAATGCTAACCATTCCTCAGAAATTGTGAGGTTTGTTGGAACTAGGCAAGTGAGGTTTATATATCTGTGGAATGTCCAGAGTGGGAGAAAGATTGGTAGCAGCAGCCAGGCTTTGAAGCTGCAAAACTATTCAATGCTAACCAAGCTGGCCAATTGCAAAATTCACGCCTGCCTCAAACAGACAAGAGTTCTTCCTCCTACTATGGACATTCCGCATGTATATAAACCTCACTTGCCTAGTTTCCAACAGATCTCACAACCTCTGAGGAAGCCTGCCATAGATGCAGGCGAAAGGTCAGGAGAGAATGCTTCTGGAACATGGACATACAGGCCAGAAAATTCACAGCAACCCAGTGATTCCGGCCATGAAAGCTTTCGACAACAGATATATAAACCCTCACAACCTCTGAAGACGCCTGCCATAGATGTAGGCGAAACGTCAGGAGAAAATGCTTCTTGAACATTGCCCATACAGCCTGGAAAACTCACAGCAACTCACTCAGTATAGGGAGAATTACCCAAAGGTGAATCTACACTGCAGTTTGACATCACTTTAGCTGCCCTGGCTCAATGCTATGCAATCCGGGGAATGGTTATTTCACAGTGCCTTTAGCCTTCTCTGCCAAAGAATGCTGCTGCCTCCCCAAAGTACAACTCCCAGGATTCTGTGGCATTGACTCGCTGCAGTTAACTTGCATTCCTCCTGCAGTGGAGGTGTCCCCTTGCCAAAGGTGGGGGGCTTTCCCTTCCTTCCTGCCCCAAGGGGAGCGGGAAGCCTCATGAAGGCGCCGTTGCGTCTTATTGCGAAGTCAACCCGCTTGGCCTCCCTCTCAGCTTATGGTTCCGGACGTGGCGTATCGCCTGGGAGAGAGAGAGAGAGAGAGAGACGAGCCCTCGCTTTTGCTAAAAAGTCAGTTCTGATCTTTATCTATTTAATAATTTACTTTGATTTATGCCTAGGTTGCCTTTCAGCTCCAGCGGCTTACAGGGCGATTTACAATGGGAAGGCGTTTTTCTTCTTCCTCTGCCCAATCCTTAGACTCATGTAGAAGAGTGTCCTCGAGTTGGAAGAGACCTCGTGGGACATCCAGTCCAACCCGCTGCCAAGAAGCAGGGAAATCGCATTCAAAGCACCCCCGACAGATGAGTGCTTTGAATGCACCCATCTCCCTTTAAAGCCGCAGAACCTCCTGCGGGGGGGGGGGGGGGGGGGGGGGGGGGGGGTGTCGTGGGAATTGTAGTTTGGTGAGACACCAATAGAGAAGGCTTTGTAAAGTGACATCTTCCATGAATGTAGGGCTTGTGTTTTTGAGTGCTTGCCTTCAAGACAATGGAAGGAAAAAGGAAGAGGGCAAGATGGATGGATGGGATCCCTGAAGTGATTGGCTTGACTCTAAGGAGCTGGGGGTGGTGACGGCCGACAGGGAGCTCTGGCGTGAGCTGTTCCAGGAGGTGACAAAGAGTCGGAAGCGATTAAACGAACAAAACCACAACAAGCCTTCAAGACTCCTGTCCACAGTGTCCTCCTCTGGCGACCCCCTTGGTCCCATAGGCTTCCTCAGAGGAGACTCGACCTCTCCAAGGCAGCCTGCGACATCCTTCGGGGCAGTGTTTTTATAGTATGGTTTCTTTAGGTCCAAAAGCCGGCCAAGGGAAGGAAGGACCTTCCGCTTTGTCCTTGCTTCAACGCAGTGGATGCCTTTTCCCTTCCAACTTGTCTGAATCCTTTCAGCTGCTGAATCACTGATTCCACCGGCACTTACAAATGTTCCCTGTCAAAATCTGTTTCTAAGCGAGATCATCCACAACTCTTCACATGTCTTACTAATTTCAGGGAAACTCGCCGCTCTCATGGAAGACCAAGCGGGCCCTGCCGGAGTTTATTATGGCAGGCTGATTGGAAAGTCCTTCCTTCTGGAATGGGAGGCGAGGGAGTGCGTGCACAGTGTAGAATGGATGCAGTTTGGAACCTCTTTAACTGCCATGCTAGGGAGTCGTGGGAGCTGTACTTTGGCACCAGGACGCATTGCCAGAGAAAGAGGAAAGCTCCTTTTTTCATAGAATCATAGAGCTGGAAGAGACCTCGTGGGCCATCCAGTCCAACCCCCTGCCGAGAAGCAGGAAACTTGCATTCAAAGCACCCCTGACAGATGGCCATCCAGCCTCTGTTTAAAAGCTTCCAAAGAAGGAGCCTCCACCACACACCAGGGCAGAGAGTTCCACTGCTAAACGGCTCTCACAGTCAGGAAGTTCTTCCTAATGTTCAGATGGAATCTCCTTTCTTGTAGTTTGAAGCCATTGTTCCACATCCTAGTCTCCAGAGCAGCAGAAAACAAGTACACTCCCTCCTCCCTATGACTTCCTCTCTATTTATACATGGCTATCATGTCTCCCCTCAGCCTTCTCTTCTTCAGGCTAAACATGCCCAGCTCTTTAAGCCACTCCTCATAGGACTGGTTCTCCAGATGCTTGATCATTTTAGTCACCCTCCTTTGGACACATTCCAGCCTGTCAACATCTCCCTTAGATTGCAGTGCCCAGAACTGGACACAGCATGATTCCAGGTGTGGTCTGACCAAGGCAGAATATAGGGGTAGCATAAACTCCCTGGATCTAGACCAGTGGTTCTCAACCTGGGGTCCCCAGATGTTTTTGGCCTACAACTCCCAGAAATCCCTGTCAGTTTACCAGCTGTTGGGATTTCTGAGAGTTGAAGGCCAAAAACATCTGGGGACCCTAGGTTGAGAACCACCGATACTCTTATTGATGAAGGCTAAAATCTCATTTTTTAGGCTTTTAAGGAGAAGCTGGATGGCCATCTGTTGGGGGTGCTTTGAATGCGATTTTCCTGTTTCATGGCAGGAGGTTGGACTGGATGGCCCACGAGGTCTCTTCCAACTCTAGGATTCTACGACAATGTAAAACTATAAAATATCAACCATTCCATAGCATTGAGAAATACCAGCCAAACTGCATTAATTCTAGATGGAGCTCAGAGCTGAGATATCAATGCCCACAGGAGTAAATAGGTTTGCATTGAGCGAAATCCTCTTTTCATCAGAAAGCCAGAGTAAGAAGGATACCCTTCATGAAGAGAAGCGGGCGGATGATCTGAGTCCCAAAGAGGGTGCCTTTCCTCCCTGCTCCCTTGTATTTCAAAAGGAGGACAGAAGATAAAGTTCTTTCCATAGGGCTCCGTGGCTTAGTGGCGTTAGGTGGAGCTGTCCAGCAAATCGACCTCCTGAACAATGCAGTGCCGCTTTGAAGCCCTTGGTTTCTGAGGAATCCGAGAAGAGAGGCTAGTCCAGGCATGGGCAAACTCTGGGCCTCCGGGTGTTTTGGACTTCAACTCCCACCATTCCTAACAGTCTCAGGCCCTTTTCTTTCCCCCCTCAGCCGCTTAAGCAG